ATTCTTATTTCTTTTCCTTATTATTTTTTTTGTTTAATAAATTATTTATTAAAATAGATAAAATTAAACTAAGTGATGATGTACCTGAACAAATAAAAGATTTTGATAGATGCTATAGACACTTGACTGATAAACAAAAATTATTAATTGATAAACTAATAACAGACAAAAAATTAAAAGAACATTATATAAATTATGATTTATATAAATTTTGTAAACAGCCTCAAACTGGTAGTGTTTATTATCAGTCATGTAATTCACAACGCTTTAAACAAAATTTCAAATTGGACAAGTGAAAATCATAATGTTGATGAGTTTATCCAAAAAGTACAGTTAAAAGCTATTAATTATTGCCAAATTTTAGAGTGGATTGAATATGATAAATTTAAAGATGTTGAATATTTATCAAAAGGGAGATTTGGAACTACTTTTAAAGCAGTTTGGAAAGATAGTTTTATTGTGTGCTGGTATAATAATATTAATCAATGGAAAAGAACATCATTTACGACAGAAGTTGCTTTAAAATGTTTATATAATTCACAAGGCATTACAGCAGATTTTTTAAAAGAAGTAAGATATTTTTCTTATGAATCTTCATTAGCCTTTATAAATGTTAAACTAACTATAATTTATTTTAAGGTTGAATCAAATAATTTAGTATATAATAATCTTATGGATTTTTTAATTCATTGTTATGGTATTACCAAAGATCTAAAAACAAATAATTTTATGATGGTGATGGATTTAAAACATAGAAGTTTAAGGCAACATTTAAATAATCATTTTATTTCAACGAATTAGTATTCAAAATTGTGAATTTTACGTAGTATTGCATCTGGTCTTAAAGAAATTTATAACAAAGGATTAATTCATCATGATTTTCATAGTGAAAACATATTAACCAGCTATACTGAAGGTACTTGTACTTTTATTACTGATTTGGGACTATGTCAACTAGCAAATATCAAATTCAATAAAAATAGTAATAAAAAAATATATGGAGTATTACCTTATGTAGATCCAGAAGTTTTAAGAGGAAAAGAATATATATAAGCAAGTGATATTTATGGATATGGAATTATTGCATATGAAATTTGTACAGGGCTTCCCCTTTATTATAATATTGCTCATGATGGATTCTTAGCTATTTAAATTTGCCAAGGACTTAAGCCAAAATCTACATCAGGAAATTATATAGTGCGAAAAGTTGCGCAAGTTTACACATCATAATATTTCTCTCTTATACACATCTAGATGTGTATAAGAGACAGACATATACTAATGTTTTGATTTTTTCTTTTTTTAGATGACTGAGTCTTTGGACATGTAACAATTCGGTAGGGTAGAGATTTTTTTGAATTATTCTTTGATGAAACGTTTATTTAACAAAACATTTTCTAATGCTTCAATTTTTCTTCTTTTAGGCGGTTCTTCAGCTCTTTAGACGTGGGACTTTGGTGGAGTATTATTTTTTTTTAAATTTCTTTATTCCGTCTTTTAAAAATGGTTACTTATTTCTTTTTCTTTTTTAGACAGCTTTTTGGTCTACTGGATGTAACAATTTGTAAGTTTTCAAAATTTTCTTTTAATTTAACGAACAGATATTAATAGTTCTTTTTTTATAGATATTTCTTCGAGTCTCTTTGGATGTGTAAGATTTTGTTATAGTAAGTTTTTTTTCGTCTTAGTTTATTTATTATAATGAAACATATATTGACGTTTCACATTTTTTTTTTAGACGGGTCTGGGCGCATGGAAAAGGAAATCAGGACTACAGTATATTTTTTTTTGAATTTAATTCTTTTAGCAAGATTTTGATGAAATGATTTTTTTTTGGCAAAACGTTTTATTAATGTTTCACTTTTTTTCTTTTTTTTAAATACCAATGAGAGGAAATGTATTTTATAATTAAAGTTACATAATTAAATTTTACAATATATTTTACAATAATTTGCTATAATTTATATTAAATATACATGAATAAATTAATATTACAATTGATGTTATACTAACTATTGTACTATGTCCCTACAAGACCAATAACGAGTATCTTAACATGGTTTGTATATAATGTACTGTAATATTAATTTTACAATACATTTAAAAAATTTCAAGTTGTTAGCAAAGAAGGGTTGGTAAAAAAAATTACTAGTAAATCTGAAATTTTGTGAGGAGACCTTTATTAGAAGTAAGCAGGGTCCTGTTTCTATATGATAATTTTTGTTACCGATCTTGAAATTATTGCAAAATAAAATAATGTTATACCACTATTTTTTTTTATTCTTATTTCTTTTCCTTATTATTTTTTTTGTTTAATAAATTATTTATTAAAATAGATAAAATTAAACTAAGTGATGATGTACCTGAACAAATAAAAGATTTTGATAGATGCTATAGACACTTGACTGATAAACAAAAATTATTAATTGATAAACTAATAACAGACAAAAAATTAAAAGAACATTATATAAATTATGATTTATATAAATTTTGTAAACAGCCTCAAACTGGTAGTGTTTATTATCAGTCATGTAATTCACAACGCTTTAAACAAAATTTCAAATTGGACAAGTGAAAATCATAATGTTGATGAGTTTATCCAAAAAGTACAGTTAAAAGCTATTAATTATTGCCAAATTTTAGAGTGGATTGAATATGATAAATTTAAAGATGTTGAATATTTATCAAAAGGGAGATTTGGAACTACTTTTAAAGCAGTTTGGAAAGATAGTTTTATTGTGTGCTGGTATAATAATATTAATCAATGGAAAAGAACATCATTTACGACAGAAGTTGCTTTAAAATGTTTATATAATTCACAAGGCATTACAGCAGATTTTTTAAAAGAAGTAAGATATTTTTCTTATGAATCTTCATTAGCCTTTATAAATGTTAAACTAACTATAATTTATTTTAAGGTTGAATCAAATAATTTAGTATATAATAATCTTATGGATTTTTTAATTCATTGTTATGGTATTACCAAAGATCTAAAAACAAATAATTTTATGATGGTGATGGATTTAAAACATAGAAGTTTAAGGCAACATTTAAATAATCATTTTATTTCAACGAATTAGTATTCAAAATTGTGAATTTTACGTAGTATTGCATCTGGTCTTAAAGAAATTTATAACAAAGGATTAATTCATCATGATTTTCATAGTGAAAACATATTAACCAGCTATACTGAAGGTACTTGTACTTTTATTACTGATTTGGGACTATGTCAACTAGCAAATATCAAATTCAATAAAAATAGTAATAAAAAAATATATGGAGTATTACCTTATGTAGATCCAGAAGTTTTAAGAGGAAAAGAATATATATAAGCAAGTGATATTTATGGATATGGAATTATTGCATATGAAATTTGTACAGGGCTTCCCCTTTATTATAATATTGCTCATGATGGATTCTTAGCTATTTAAATTTGCCAAGGACTTAAGCCAAAATCTACATCAGGAAATTATATAGTGCGAAAAGTTGCGCAAGTTTACACATCATAATATTTCGTAAGCTTCCAGACCCGCCGCAAGTTTGCGTAAGCGTAATATTTCGTAACTTTTTAAAATATTTCGAAATATTACGATATGCAAAGCTTCGTAATTTTACGATTTGTAATATTCCGTAATTTTGCGGTTCGCAATATTTCGTAATTTTACATAATATTTCGTAAGTTTTCAGACCCGCCGCAAGTTTGCGTAAGCGTAATATTTTGTAACTTTTTAAAATATTTCGAAATATTACTGTATGCAAGGCTTCGTAATTTTACGATTCGTAATATTCCGTAATTTTACTGCGT